AACGAACGATTCAGGCACTTTGCCGCGCTTGACTTTGTCTGTCTCTATCTCTGCCTGTCTGCAGTTCTATCCCAATTATTTGTCTGGCGCACTTATATACAAGAATAGAGAGCGCCTAGCAAATACTGGATTATTCGTGATCTTCCCCGATCTTTCTGAAACGCACTACGTGTTACCAGAGTCACGTGACTTCCGCTGTCGTAACAGTGTTTTATTTCTGATGATCTATCTATATATACACACATACACATATATATATAAACATATGTCAATAGTTCAGTATGAAAACAAAAAACATTTAACATATAATTAAAGAAAAGGAGATTGTTCATTCCAAGAGGTTGTTTGATAGCTAATCTAAAGGTCAATTTACGTTTGTCTCTTTCTCTCTTGGACTTGTCAGGTGGTACTTGTTTTAGTGTCAATACTAATAATTTAGCTAGGGAATAGTTGTTTGATTTAAAATGTCTAAGTACTGGATTTGTATCTTTCATTTGTAAAAGAAGTTCACGCGATCGATCCCTTGCTATGTGTGAAGTTTCGCCAGTGTACAGCTTATTGCACCTAGTTCTTAAATCAATAAAAGCGTAAGTTCAGCAGAGAGGTCAATTGCAACATTCAGTTTTAATTATTTTCTAATTTTGAGTGACTTAGTAAATCTGTTTCGTTTTACTGACGTCTGGAGCAGGTTAGAGACATATTTAAAAAAAAACGCTCAACGTAGTATATTATTTTATAAGAACGTTATTGTTATTTTTTAATGGTTATACGATGTATACGGAAGTTAGGTGGGTGAAAACTCATAACTAAAGGTATAAGATCTGAAGATGGTATTTCAGGTTTGATATGTAGAATATCCTTACAGGAAGTATTCAAAGTACGTGACTTGGCTTTGGAAATGCGAGACATTTTGAGGCTAGACACTTTATATAAAGAATTCACATATCTCATTAGAAGCTGTTTTAAAAGTGGTGTCGTCGAAGTAAAGTCATTTAAACCTTAGAAACTGATCTTTAGGTATTACATTCTTTGTCTTAACTGGATTAAAGGGATTATGCCTATAAAATGGATTTATATATTCATTTTGTTGTCACAAAGTAGTATGTTGTTGTCAAGAAAAGAAACGCCACTTCTCGAGAGGTTGATTGTTTGTTTTTTTGTAGTTAAGCACAAAGCTGCACAATGGGATATCTGTGCTCTGCCTACCACAGGTATCGAAACCCGGTTTCTAGCGTTGTAAGTCCGCAGACATACCGCTGGGCTAGAGGTTGAAGTGTGTGGTATTCTCAAGAGAACTGATTTCCTCGCAAGTATTAGATCGGTCCATTTAATAATATCAGGTTCGAAGAAGAAATTTTAGAGTAAAATGAATTTGAAAATTAGACCGAGTTTTAAGCTGCGGGAGAGATAAACTAGGCATGTTTATATATAGGCAAAAACAATCTTTATTTTTGACAGAACAACAACGACAACAAAAACAACTTGTGTACTTGAGTAGACATGTGAACGATCGCATCTAATATGTGTGTTTGTGTTTTCTTATAGCAAAGCCACATCGGACTACCTGCTGTGTCCAGTGAGGGGAATCGAACCCTTGACTTTAGCATTGTAAATACGAAGACTTCCCGCTGTCCCACCAGAGGACCGCATCTACTAAATCAGTGAATAGGCCTGCAGCCTTCTGTCTCTTGATACGAATCTCTCTAGAACTAAACACTATGATGGGTGGAACTCTAAAGCAGTTCTTCTCAACTCTTTCCAATATCATTCACCCCTATAAGTTTTCACAACAGCTAACTTACTCCAGTTCAAAAAAAGACAGAAGGGTACTAAATTAAAATGCAAAATTCTATATTATGACTTAAATATACATCAAACTACAACTAGATTGAATACAGCATAAAATAAACAAAAAAATAAATGTTTTTTAATCAAACTACAATAAATAATAATAACTAATGACTTCTTTATATCTTGAATTTGCTGTATAACTGATAAGACTCATTAACCCCATCATTCTTATTCACCCTGATTCTGATCTCATTAACCCCTTGGTGAACCATTCACCCAATTGAGAAGCACTGCTCTAAAGAACTAAAGCTCCGTACTGATACAGGAAACTTCAGTTCCTTTCTTTTGTGATATCATCCATTCAACAGAAAAGAATGTTGCAGTAATTGACCCTTTCAATGCGAATGTACGGCGTCATTAAACTCTAAGTTTGGTTTGATTTGTTTTGAATTATGCGCAAAGCTGCACGAGGGCTATCTGCGTTAGCCGTCCCTAATTTAACAGTGAAAGACTAGAGGGAAGCAGCTAGTGATCACCACCCACTGCCAACTCTTATACCAACGAATAGTGGTATTGACCATTACATTATAACGCCCACTTACGGCAGAAAGGACGAGCATGTTTGGCGGAACGGGGATTCGAACTCGCAGATTGCGACTCGAGTGCCCTAAAACCACCTGTCTTTGCCAGTCCGTTTGCTAGAGTGAACAAAGACACAAAGGCAACTAGAAGAAGATAACCTCGACAGTTTTCTGGGTCACGTACTTATGTCAAACTTCATAAAAACAGACTAATGGAAAACTTTTAAAAACTCCTGTGTTAATAAGAACATGTAGAAAACATATGACATGCCTGCATATCGTAGCAGGTATAATCTAAAGCTGGGTAGAAGTTCTGCACAAAATGGAAAAATTATTTCCAGCTTCTAGATCACTGTGTGAAATCTAGAAAATATCATCAATGAATTTTTAATACAATTGGAGCCGGGTTACTTTAAATGATGCACACACCTGACTTTCCAAATAGCCAACAAAAAGGTTAATATAGGAAGCTAGACCCAGCTTTTGTTACCATAGCAAACCTTTATCTTGTTTATAGTATGAGTCGTTATTTTTCTGTGTAAAATTGTTAATTGGCTATGTGTACTCTCTAAGTTTACTAAGATAAAGATTTTCAGATCATGAAAAGATAAAAAGTAATGATGTTTAAAGCAATTAAAACAATATTATGTTTAGTTTATTAAATTAATGCTATTAATTCGCCTACACCAAAATGGGCTTTAATTTACTAAATGTCAAACCCGCGTTCAGGCATTTAGTAAATGTCTAGCCTTGTTTCGTTTGTTTGGTTACGAATTTCACGCAAAACTACTCGGGGCTACTCTTGTACCAACGAATACTTTGATTGACCACATTGGCGCAGCCTGGGGGTGGGGTGGCAAGCGGCCATGCCTCCCCTCCTGGCTTGTATCTTTATTTTTCACCAGTTTCCCCCTGCAATTCCAAATTTCCCAGTGTAAATTTTCGCAGTTTTATGTTTTTTGGCTTCATCTTACATCTAGCTTGCCCCCCTCCCCCTCTTTCAAATCCCTGGATATGCCACTGATTGACCATACAATACAACAACCCCACGACTGAAAAGGGCGAGCATGTTCAGTGATGAGATTCGACCAGAAATTGCGAGTGGAGTACTTTAACTACCAGACCACGCTAGGGCCACCTAGGCTTGTAAAATAGAAAATAAATTACCACATTTCACTATTTGCCAAGGGATATTATTATTTGCATAAAATTACCGTTCGTCTATAATATATACTAGACCACCCGTGACCCTTGGGTCACCCACTATTCAGAGGTTATGAAGAATTCAAGCCTAATTTCAATATTGCACCGAAATGAAGGTTTATTTTGAGATAATTTAAATAAATATTTCAATCCATTCGTGTTATTCAAGAAAATATATTTGATTGTTGATCGGGAGTAAAAGGAAAGACCATTTTTCAAAAAAGTGAAGTCAGAGTTTTCACGTATTGTGATGTATTTGTTCATTATGTTGTGGTCTTTCCTCTTAAACTTTCTACAAATAAGAAACAGTAACACTCTATTTTTTCTTCGAATTACCAACCATAACCAAGTCATAATTAACGAGAAATTCTTCAAGATCTTGCTTTTGTCATCTTACACCTTTTAAGGAAGATGGGAACATTGGCATGGAAATAGATTTGAACGAAGTTTCGTAAAGAGCGCGAACGGTAGTGTGATGTAAAATTACTCATGCTAGAAATGTTTATAAAAGTGACCCGAAAAACTGCGCTAACTCGGTAACCCCTGGCCCGATTTTAACGAAACTTGTTTTATTCTGTTTCTATTCTCACTTCATTACAAATATGGCGGTATTGTGCGCCGTTTTTACTGTATTTAATTACAGACAAGCACACAAACAAACAAACAATCTCAGAGTTTTAGTAGTATATAAAAATAGATAGATAGATATTTATGGTTAAGAGATGGTAATTTCCTGGTGAATGAGTAATATAATGTTACGACAGCGGAAGTTACGTGACCCTGGT